TATTTATTTGAGAGAGAGAATGAGAGACAGAGAGCACGAGAGGGAAGAGGGTCAGAGGGAGAAGCAGACCCCCCCGCCGAGCAGGGAGCCCGATGATGCGGGACTCGATCCCGGGACTCCAGGATCATGACCTGAGCCGAAGGCAGTCGCTTAACCAACTAAGCCACCCAGGCGCCCCCAAATAAAATCTTTAAAAAAAAAAGAAGTTGAACAAATATGGTAATGAAGCAGGATGCCAGCCTACTGGCCTTCCAGCACCCACTGCCCTTCTGTATGCTCTCTTTGTTAACTGTGCAATAGTCTAGTTCTCATGCACCAGAGCTATTAGGTCCTCCATTCACCAATAATCTTCCTCCGCTATGAATAGAGATTTTTCTTTTAAAGGAAATTTATTTACGCAGACACAAACTGGTAATCCCCACTTGCAGAAATAAGAGGTTAAGTAATTTGCCCAAAGTCAGCTACTTAGTGGTAGAACAATACAGTATAAGCCCAAACACACTGGCCCCAGGGCTCTCTGCACTTAGATTTTAGAGAGTGTTTTTGGAAACAAAGAAGGGATTTGCTAGGCCTTAAACCTAATTTGCAATCAACTGGAACTTTTTAATATGTAATACGGATTTTTTTAAAGTGTAACCAATTGGGGCACCTAGGTGGCTCAGTCGTTAAGTGTCTGCCCTGCCTTCGGCTGGGGTCATGATCCCGAAAGCCCCGCACTGGGCTCCCTGCTCAGCGGGAAGCCTGCTTCTCCCTCTCCCACTCCCCCTGCTTGTGTTCCCTCTCTCGCTATGTCTCTCTCTGTCAAATAAATAAATGAAATCTTAAAAAAAAAAAAGAGCCAATTTAAAAGAATAAAAAAAAGTGTAACCAATTGCACATAGTGCTGACCAGTGCGAGCTCCAGAGTCAAACCTGGAGTGGAATTCCTGCTCTATCCTACTGATCAGCTTAGCAATCTTAGGAAAGGTCACCTACCCGCCCTGAGCTATGATTTTCTTCTCTATAAAATGGAGATGACGATCCTGCTGTACAGAATTAGATGGACAGCCCGCCGAAGCCACAGGCTGAGCGAGCACTCCTTACAGGGCAGCCGGGTTCCTGCTCCTCTTTCCGTGCCCTCCACCCACATGGCAGTAGCTCCCAAAGTGTATTTCTTACCGTGTTTTCCACAAACAAACTGGAAGCAAAAGTTTTAGGAAGTGATACTTAACATAATGATGCTTGCTTTACTTACTTTCAACCAAGCTCTATGTTTTCATTCTCTTCGCTGCTTAGCAATGTGTTCTTCCCCCAATTGCTCTCTGAATACCAGCACTAGGCTTACAGCCCCCAGCAGGAGCCTGGAAAATTCTCCTGTGGAGTAACTGAATAGTCGCAAGAGAGAACACAGACAGAACAACTGCCCTTGGGGTACCCCAACAAAAGTCCAGGTAGACTTCGGCCAACAGCCTGGAGCGCGCACGGGCTTCCCGTGAGTATTTTAGGGCTTTACCCTTACGTATGGACAGACAGCCATGAACCAGAAATTGAGGGAAGCCTCCAATATGAGAGGGGAGAACGCAGAGGGAAAGGAGCTTGGAGGGAACAGAGATAATGGAGGAAGCAGAAGGAAATTTCAAAACCACTGTAATCAAAATTCTCAAAGAGCTAAAAAACTCAAACTTGAGCCAAGACAACAAGCTCTTATAAATGAAAACTTGACTTAAATGGTACGCACACTAGGAAATCAGAAGAGAGAGCAGAGGGAATCTTGAAACAAAAGGGTAGGAAAAAAACAGGGATAAAAATTTTAAAAAGGACCAAGCAGATAATCCAGCAGATGAATTATCCAGTGTGTGAAAGTTGTTGAAAGAGAAGGGGGGGGGCAGGTAGAGGGGGCACGTTATCAAAGAACGAACAGATCTCCCAGGTTGGAAGAGTCATCAGATGGCCGAAACAGGAAAAAAAAAAAAAAAAAAAGGTGGCCAAAACAGTGCATTGAAAAAGGCCTCAGCAAAGGCACACAAAGGTAAAGCCCTGCAAAATTCCCAAACACCAAGGATAAAAAAAGGTTCTACAACTTCTGGAGAGCACAAGGGGGGGAAAAAAAAAAAAGACGGGCGGGGGGGGATCACATAAAAGAGAAAGAAGAAATCAAAACGGCATCATACTGCCCGACGTGAATGACACTGGAAGTCAGAAGACTACTGACCAATGTCTTTCAAACTCTGAAAGAGAATCTTTGCTAACCTAGAATGCTATGCTCAGAGAAACTATCGCTCCTGGATAAGGACAAGACATTTTCAAACACGCAAGGCCTCCGAATTTAGTCCCCATGTACCAAATCTCAAGAAGCTACTCCAGCAAAATGGAGCAGTGGGCCAACAGAAAAGAAGACCTGACTTCTGCGGGCTGTGGGGTGGGCCTGAAAGCAGCCAGTCCAGACCACAGCAAGGACAGTGGTCTCGAGGAGAAAGGTCACCCGGAAAAAGAGCTCCCCGATAGATTATTTTAATGTTTGACCCACGTAGAAAATAGTACGGTAAAGCTTTAAAGATGTATCTGAAAAGACTTCGTAACAGGTAAGTGAAAACTAAGGAAATTTTTAAAATGCAGCAATTATTAACACTGGGAAAGAGAAAGCTATCCAGAAAAACACAAAAGAAAGAAAAAGATGATCACTGTCTACCATGAGGCTCAGTACCAAAAAAGATTTAGTACGTTATTGTAACAGTATATTGTAACAATGTAAACACTGAATATCAATTTAACTCAAAAAGGAAAACAGGGGAGGTGATGTTTAGGGAAGGAGGTACCTAAAAACTCAATCTATCATATTGACTCAGAAGTCAAGAGATGATACTTAAAATTGATAAATCAAGAAATAGCAGTACAAGCACTTAAAAGAGAAATATGGATATAAATATCAGAAACAATTAACAGCTCAAGTGTGGAAATCAGTTGCCCCTAAAAAGTATGACAGATTGGATTCAAAGGGGTCAGGCAGGGACTGCTGTTTTTCAGTGTGAGCTTTGTAGTACCTTTGAGTATGGTTGTGTGCAAGTATTACCTTCACAAAAGTAAAAGTTAACATTAAAGAAAGTGACTTAACTTCAAACCGAAGGGGTAATTTCTCAGTAGAAGAATCCAGGTAATATTATCTTTGCATTACAATTTTTATTTTTATAAACAAAAGCCCAATTAAATGCCCCCTAAAATACCCTCTAAAATATTGAGTAAGCAAGAAATATAAAAAGAAATACAACCCAGCTGGTAAAATACATTTTTTTTTTAAAGATTTTATTTATTTATTTGACAGAGAGAGACACAGCGAAAGAGGGACCACAAGCAGAGGGAGTGGGAGAGGGAGAAGCACGCCTCCCGCGGAGCAGGGAGCCTGATGCGGGGCTCGATCCCAGGACCCTGGGATCATGACCTGAGCCAAAGGCAGGCGCTTAACAACTGAGCCACTCAGGCGCCCCGGTAAAATATATATTTAATCATTCTTCTGAAGATGATGAGGACTGAAACTAATATAATACTGATTACATCTCAATTTTTTTAAAAGTCTTAAAGTACAGCAGATAAATACAAAATCTTTTCCTTAAATCTCTCACTGTATTAAACCATGCTCCGGAAAATTCAAAATAAAGAAAACAAGAAGAGGAGGAATATCGTTTATTAGTAATTTTAGTTTTCCACATGTGACTTTTTCCCCTCGTGGACCAGAGAAACGTTAAGCAGATGAAGAGGTGAAAAGACATGGGAATAATTTTTAGGTCAAGCCAAAAGCATCTCTCAGTATTCAGGGAATTGTTCTATGAACTTTTATCCAGAAAGCTCTTTGGTCTGCTCAGCCCATAAAATGAATCAGGACTAATTGGTTTCCCCCCATCCTGACAAACCCTGCAACTCAGGGTATTCTTGCCAACGTAAAGTTCTGACTATATACCAAAGGTAAAATGGCCTTGAAACAAATCAACTCATTAATTCCATTTCTCAGCAAGCCACTAAAAGAAGGTCGTCTTTTATGCAACAAAAAACAGCCTGAGCTTTTTTGTCACGAGCAGGGAGGATGGGTTTAGACACAGAAGACAAATACAATTACCCTCCTAATGAGCCTTTCTAAGTACTGATGGGCACAGGGACAAGGAAGAAGCACAGTAAAGAAACAAAATTTCCAGTGATGTCCTCTAGTTTGGTTCACGATCTAAAATACTGCAAAAACACAGTAGCTCTACAAACATTCCAATGAATAAGCAGCAACACGCACTTCAAAATCACATACACATAGGTTGGTCATCTATAAATAATCTCTAACGCAGAAAATGGAGAACCACCTTCAGCGCCAGAAATGAGTAAAGAAACGTCTTACCTTGTTTAATTTTGAGCAACATGATCTAGCATTAATGTAATCACATTCTAAATCAGACAGTGTAATGATCTGAGGACCAAGATAAGGAATTGTAAAACTTCTTTGAGAACAACTGTTTTTGTCTTTAAGTTTCAGACAGAAACCCAATTGCAGTGCAGAATTAGATTTGACTTGAAAAACTTTGTTATTTCCGTAAAGTTCACTCATTAGACAACTCAATTTTCTGATTTATATTCCTTCAACAAACTATTTTCAAAATAATCTTATTATGCTCAATTCTAAAGTGACCCACACAAGACCATTCAATCAGAGTTCCTCAAAAATCAGTGACTGTTAAGAAACGGAAAAAAAGACCTCTAAAAACAATTTAAATGTGAAAAACCTGAATTCCCAATAATAGGAAAAGTGTTTATTTATGACAGATCCATAAACTGTCTTTGAAGACTCAAGATGTGAAAAAAGAAAAGATACAAAACTATCAATACAGAGGCGCCTGGGTGACTCAGTCGTTAAGCGTCTGCCTTTGGCTCAGGTCATGATCCCAGGGTCCTGGGATCGAGCCCCACATCGGGCTCCCCGCTCTGCGGGAAGCCTGCTTCTCCCTCTCCCACTCCCCCTGCTTGTGTTCCCTCTCTCGCTGTGTCTCTTTCAAATAAATAAATAAAATCTTTAAAAACAAAACTATCAATACAGGATGGTCCTATGTCCGTACTGGTTATGTCTCCTTCCAGGTGATCTGTTTTCCTAATACTTTTCTCTATTTCCGAAACCTTAAACACATTAAACATACTTTATACTAGAATTAAGCAAAAAATGGTTTTCAGTACCAAATGTAAACTCTCGAGGACATGTGACACAGAAGGAAAAGTCCTCAACTGAACGATACAAGGCCTGAGATTTGCTGTGAAACGCTCCAACATCCCCTCCCCACCCAGGAAAGGAGAAAGCAAAATGCTGAAAGTCACTGTTGGTGACAGAAACTGGGTTTATTTCACTACGCTCTCTACTTTTATGCTTGAAAATGTCCAATGAAACAAGTAAAAATAAATAAATAAATAAATTCACCTAAATTCTAAACATTTCCATATGGATATTCCCCCTAACATCTCAACACAAAGTCAAACTCATCACTTTCTCCACAAATTGCCCGCCTCCAAATGTGTTTTCTGTCGATGACACAAGCACCATTTGCCCAGGCTCAAACCACGACAAGTTATTTCTGTCATCTGTTTCATATCCCACACCCAGCCTTCCTCCTCACTCCACCCATGAATCCCTCCTTTCACCCGCCCACACTCAGAGCTGTTTCAAACTCACACGGGCCCACTCCCCAGCGGTTTACTTTCCAGTCTTTCCCATTTCCAACCCACTCTGCAGATTCATCTTCCTAATACTCCATTTGCTTATGTCAAAAATGTTCAATGGCTCCCTACTGCCTAGAGGATAAAAGTGAAAGCCCTCCCTGCCTTAACACCAAAACCCTTCAAAATCTGCTCTAATCCAGCCTTTCCCACCTGACCTTCTACTACGACCAAAATCAACCACGTCCTCCAGATGGTCCATTCTTTAACCCGGTCATCCAGAAATGCCATACGGGCGCCTGGGTGGCTCAGTCGTTAAGCGTCTGTCTTCGGCTCAGGTCATGATCCCAGGGTCCTGGGATCGAGCCCCGCATCAGGCTCCCTGCTCCGCAGGAGGCGTGCTTCTCCCTCTCCCACTCCCCTTGCTGTGTTCCCTCTCTCTCTCTCTCTCGCTCTCGCTGTGTTTCTGTCAAATAAATAAATAAAATCTTAAAAAAAAAAATGCCATAAACACACCCGAATCTGCACCTCTGCTCTTGCCCGATTTTGAATATCCACCCCTTTCCTTCCGTGGTTTTCTCCATGGTTCAAAGTCCGGGAAAACTTCTATCCCTACAGAACTGCTACTCTGACCATTTTCTACCTCTTGCCTCTAATATTAAGCTAGTGCAACTATCCAAAAATACAGTAATACAATATGCTGAATCTCATCAAAACACACCCTAAATGTACCTGAATGTCTAAGTCAAATATTCCACCTAACATTTTTCCATGCACATAAATTGGTATAAGCCACGCCTATTTTGAACTATTAAGCCGAGCTTGCCAAACTGCAAATACAGAAATCCATGTTTCATTTCTCTGGAAGTCCCAGTTCCTTAGGTCACAAGAGGGACATAGGTCGTCAAAACTTAGGCCCGTGATTCTGCCCTTTCAGTCAGTTCACCAAACCTAAGAAAACTCAAGGTTCTCCCTCGACTGGCTGGCTCGGTTAGTACAGCATTTGAGTCTTGATCTTGGGGTTGTGAATTCCAGGCCCAGCCTGGGTACAGAGATTACTTAGAAATAAAATCTTAAAAGAACACAAAACCAACTCAAGGTTCTCCTCATTAGAATTCATCAGTTCAAGTAAAAAGTGCAGCTAACTGGGGCCGGGGAGGCAGACACGGTGCTGGGGGGCGCTGAAGCCGCGTTCTCGCTGTACACACCCAGAGCTGGGGAGTGAACAGGCCCCGCGATAAAGATAAGAAACCCCAGGCGGAGAGAGGTGAAGCACTGCGCACAGCAAACATCTAGCTAAGTAAGGGGTCCTGACTGCAAATTCCGTCCCTTTCCTCTCCAGCGGGCTGCCCGTCCACAGTACAGCAGGAGGTCACGCTGAAAGCACACGCTACAAACACCCTAAAGCCGGGGTGTTCTGTCAAACAGGAAGTTTACTTCCATCAGAAAGCACTACGAGGGAATTCCAAGGAAAAAAAACAATGCAATTCCGCATGTTTGTTTCCTAACACGTTAACGACTTGAACTGGAGGGTGCACTGGGCGACGACGAAGACTGGCGGCTCCCCGAGAGCAGGGTGCGGGTCCAAACCTCACGTGCGGGCCTGGACCCCAGTCTGAGGACGAGCACAGGAGCAAGTCTTCTGCGCGGGCGCCGCTTCGGCACGGACACAAGCGCACCCGGCCCCGCACGGTCCCACGCACGGTCCCCCGCAGAGGGCTGCTCCGGTCCCGGGCCCCGGCAGGCCCCGCACGACGCCCAAGTCCCAGGCGGGGCCC